TGTCCATCTGAGCTCACCCATGCTCACCTGTGTCCATCTGAGCTCACCATTTGTGTCCATTCCACGCTCAGACATGCCCACCTTGGCCAAGTTGAACTTACCTTTCCTTCTTGGGCCCCTTGAACTCGCGGTACCCGCCTGACCTGAGCTCACCTGTGTCCATCACCTGCAGTCTTTGGCCCACGTGCTGAAGGCGCGGCAGACCCTGACGGAGCCTGAGGTGCGCTACTACCTGCGGGGCCTGGTCAGTGGCCTGCATTATCTGCACCAGCGGCGCATTGTGCACCGGGATCTGAAGCTCAGTGAGTGACACTGAGGGGACCCATCGGGGGAGGGGAGCGGGGTGCGGCTTCACCTTTGCCCCCAACTCCCATTCCCAACCCCAATGGCAGGTAACTTCTTTCTGAACAAGAACATGGAGGTGAAGATCGGGGACCTGGGGCTGGCCGCCAGGGTGGGCCCTGGGGGCCGCTGCCACAGGTGAGACAGGGAGGCTCTGAGAAGTCCCTCTGGGTGGGTACAGGGGAGACTCTGAGTCTGACATGGGGCAGTAGCCCTCCTGAGCCCCCCACTATCCCCTTCCCAGAGTGCTCTGCGGGACCCCCAACTTCCTGGCCCCCGAGGTGGTCTCCAGGAATGGACACTCCTGCCAGTCGGACATCTGGGCTCTGGGCTGCGTCATGTGAGTGGGGCCCTGGGATCCCTGGGTCTGGGGACGGTGGGCGGGACTGCCCAGGTGGGGCCAGGTGGGGCCAGGTGCGGGCAGGTGGGAGCACATACAGCCAGGTCAGAGCAGGTGTAAGTATGTACAGGGGAGGTTGAATGAGGAGGTGGGCAGATGTGAGCATAAACAGAACAGGTGTAGTCAGGTGTGTGCAGGTGTGGGAAGGTGGGAACACACACCTGCCATCATTCGACTGTGCAAGTATGAACAGGGCATCTATGGGGCTGTGTGTGTGAGGGAGGACAGGTGTGCACAGCTGAGTGCAGATGTGGGCAGGTGGGAATTGCATAGGTAGACCAGGGCGTGTGGGATTATATACAAGGGTCAGGCACACGCAGAAGTGGGCAGGTATGAGCATGTAGAAAACAGAGCTGGAAAGGTGTATGCAGATACAGGACAGGTGCAGGCAGGTGTACAGACAGGTGCTGGTATCCCCGAGCAGAGTGGCCCAATGGGAGCAGCTGTGGGCAGGTATGGGATGTGGAGGCAGGGTACGTACAGAGTCAGGGTGAGTGGGTGGGTATGGCCAGGTGTGCACAGGTAGGCGCCAGCAAACCCTGGACAACACCCAGGACAGATGCAAGTAGGCACCCGGGTTTCTGCCCCCTCCCTGGCCCAGGTACTTGGTGCTGACTGGCGACCCACCCTTCACGGCGGCACCGCTGTCGGAGATGTACCAAAACATCCGCGAGGGTCGCTACCCCGAACCCGCGCACCTGTCACCCAACGCTCGCAGCCTCATAGCCCGCCTCCTGGCGCCCAACCCGGCTGAGCGGCCCAGCCTGGACCACCTGCTGCAGGATGATTTCTTCACACAGGTGGGCAGTCCCTGTGCCATGTGGCCCGGACACGATGTTTTCCTTAGGAGGGGGCGGGGCCCCCAGCTGTGTCAGGAGCGGGGCTGGGAGCAGGTGGCCCGAGCCTGGTGCTGACCCCGACACCCGTTCTGCAGGGCTTCACTCCAGCCCAGCTGCCCCCCCACTCCTGCCACAGCCCGCCCATCTTCGTCATCGCCCAGCCCCTGGGCAGGCTCTTCCGGAAGGTGGGCCAGCAGCTGCTGACCCAGTGCAGGCCACCCTGTGAGTACCTCACCTGTCCACTTCCGCCCGCTCCCCCAGCACTTGCTCTCACCTGCCCATACCTGCCCCATACCTGCCTACAGCTCCCCCTCACCTGCCCACGCCCCTCACCTACTTCTACCTGCCTGACACCTGTCCCAGCCCTCACACACCTAGCCATACCCCTCACCTGCTCCACAATGTCCCCACACCCATGGCAGAGGTGGATGTGGGGCCCAGGCCCTGCTCCCAAGTGTCCTTGTGCCTCCCCCAGGCCCCTTCACTCCCAAAGAGACCCCAGGACCGGGAGAAGGGGGTCCAGAGCCGGATCCCATGGAGTGGAGCAGCGAGGTGAGGAACCAGGGCCACGTGGACAGGTGTGGACAGGTGTACCCAGGGCATCCCTCTCCCAAGAGCCCTGGGGCACACCCCTGGCCACCTCCGAACCTCCTCCTCCATGCAGGCTTCCCTGAACCCCTGGACTGAGGCCCCACACCATCTGGGGTCTCCAGCCCTGGACCCATGGGGTGGGATGCATCTGTGTCCAGCTCTGTGCCCTGGCTTGGGGGTTTCCTGAGGGCGGGACCCCGCCACCCTAATTCTACCTATTTGTTCATTCCACGCCCACTTATTGAGCACCTACTGTATGCCTTTAAGGTGCCCCAAGGCTACATCCCAGCGGAAGCCCATCCTCCTGTACGCTGAATTGGCTCAGGGCACGGCTGGGCAAGGGAGAGGGCCGGGTGTCTCCTGAAGGGGCTGCAGGGGGTCTGGGGCCCCTCACCCACCTCAGGCCTCTTCCAGGGGGCTGGGCAACTCCTCACCCCTCACTCTCTCCTCAGGCCTCCTTGTCAGAGAGAGGGGCCCCCTGCCCTGAGGCTCCCATCCAGCTGCTCACTCAAGGGACCCTCAGGTGTGACCCCAAGGGTGAGCAGATCTTTGCCATTCAAGAGTCACAGCGCCTCTCCTGGTCTCAGTTTTCCCACCTGTAAAATGGGAGTGCCGTAAGGAACCCTTCTGGGTAGAAAGTAACATCTCCCTGGGAGTGGATAGCCGGAGGGAGCCCAGGCCTGTCTGCCCACTTCCCTTCTGGGTAGAAAGTAACACTCCCTGGGCGCGGACAGCCGGTGGGAGCCCAGGCCTGTCTGCCCCACTTCCCTTTCTGCTCTCCGCACTGATGTGTCTCCCCAGGGTCCAAGGAGAGCCGGCCGCCGGAGGTGGAGGCAGCCATCTGTGGCCTGCAGCTCTGCCTGGACGCTGGCCCCCCAGGTAGGAGCCCCGCCCAGCCCTCGGGGGTCTCCTCTCTCTGAATGTCCCAGGAATGCTGTCCCCATCCCCATCCAGGCTCCTCCTGGGCATTTCTGGGGGTCCCATATGGGGTGGGGAGGTGGCAGAATGGGAGGAGGCTTCCAGGCACCCGGACCTCAGGCAAGGTGCTTAACCTTTCTGTGCCTCAGTTTCCCCTCCTGTAGTCAGAGTGCATAGAGGTGGTCGTTGTGTGCCATCTGGGGCTTTGTGAGGCCTCTTCACACTTACCTTTCAATGACTGTAAGGAGATCATGTGGCACAACGGTGAAGCGCTCGGCTGCTTACCGAAAGGTTGGCGGTTCGAACCCACCCAGCGGCTATGCAGGAGAAAGACGTGGTGATCTGCTCCCATAAAGATTACAGCCTAGGAAACGCTGTGGGCCGTTCTGCTCTGGCCCGTGGGGTCACTAGAGTCGAAAATCGGCTCGATGACACCCAACAACGATGGCTCTTATCTTTATTTCTGGCGATGTGTTGCGGGGTGCTAAAGGGCACCATGAGTACCTCAGGGTCTGGGTCTCTCAAGTCCTTAATCCCTTCCTGTTTGAGAGCCAGAGAGGAACTGAGCGAGGATGGGCAACATCAGATGTTCGCCAACACGGAGCCCAGTCCCCGAGGCCCAGGACCCCAAACCTCCACCAGCCCACAGCGTCCTGCCCCCACCCTCGTGGAGAATCCAAAAAACCCATTGCCGTCGAGTCAATTCCGACTCATAGCGACCCTATAGGATGGAGTAGAACTGCCTGACAGGGTTTCCAGGGAGTGCCTGGTGGATTCAAACTGGCAGCCTTTTGGTTAGCAGCGGTAGCTCTTAACCACTGTGCCCCCAGGGCTCCACGGAGAGGGATCCCCGAACCTCAGACTGAGGTCACCATCCCTGAAACCTTTTCTTTATCACCACAACCCATTTCGCTTTTTTTCCAGCCTCCCTTGCCTCTGGGCCCAAGAAGGCCCCACGTTTTAAAGTTTTCCTGAAGCCCATTTTTTTCCCCAATTTTTAAGAACCATTAAAAAATAATTTTAGATTTGTAGAAAAGTGGCAAAGATCGTGCAAAGAGTCCCCGTCTGCCCCTCAGCCAGCCTCCCCTCCTGTGGGCGTCTTTCAACACCATGGCCTGTTTGTCACGGCAGAGAAACGGACGCGGGGACTTTATTCAGTGTCACGCGCTTTTCTGCCAAAGTCCTTTTTCTGTTCTGGTGATCCTGTGAGGCTTTGAGCACTTTTTTAAAATTTGTTTATTTTCAGATCATTTTTAAAAATTTAATGTATTTTGTATTTTGTCATTGAAAATACACACAGCAAAACATACACCCATTCGACAGTTTCTCCAGGTACAGTTCAGTGACATTGATCAGGTTCTTCAAGTTGGGCAGCCGTCCTCACTCTCCTTTTCCCAATTGTTCCTCCCCATTAACATATACTCACTGCCCCCCTAAGCTTCCTATCTGACCTTTCAAGTTGCTGTTGTCAATTTGATCCCACATAACTCAAAAAAACCCAAACCCCTTGCTGTTCAGTTGATTCTGACTCATAGTGACCCTATAGGACGGAGTAGAACTGCCCCACAGGGTTTCCAAGGAGCCGCTGGTGGATTCAAACTGCTGACCTTTTGGTTAGCAGCCGTAGCTGGCCGCAGCTCTTAACCACTGCTCCCCCTGGGCTCTTCACCCCATATAGATAGTCCTTAAAAGAGCACAATGCTCCAGGCAGAAGACATTCTTTACTAAGTAAGCTAAACTATTGTTTGATTTAAAGAAGACTTCAGGGGGTAGTTTTGATTTAAGATTTAAAGATGGTCTCAGGGCAACAGGTTTTGGGGGTTCATCCAGCCTCTGTGGCTCCAGAAAGTCTGGATTCCATGAGAACTTGAAATTCTGTTCTGTATTTCCCCCCTTTTGATCAAAATCCTTTTTTAATAAAATTTTTAAATAAAAATTAAACAAAACTTATAGTATGACAAGCATTCCAGAAGCACCTCATAATCCCAGGGTCCCCAATACTTCCCTGCAAGGCAAGAGTTGGATATCTGTTTTTTGGGCTTCTTTCGATATCCCCTCTGCCTGCAATCCTGCCATTAGAGCTACTAAGTCTTGCCCCAGTCCCTGCCTGGGCTGGTAGGTCCCCCACCTTCAGCTCAGCTCACCTCATCTTTGTGCCTAGCTGTGCAGGACCCCCCAGGAGAGCAGCGGCCCCTCCTCTGGGCCCCCAAGTGGTTGGATTATTCCAGCAAGTATGGCTTTGGCTACCAGCTGTCAGACGGAGGCAGCGGGGTCCTGCTTCGGGACGGCACCCACATGGCCCTGCACCCCCCGGGGGGGTAAGTAGTGAGGCTGCTGTCCCCTCACCTTCCCTCCTTCATTCCTCAACTGTTTAGTAAGCACCTACTGTGTGCACCTTCACTGCCTGGTGGAAGAGACAATGCTAAACAAATGAATCACTAAGTTGATTTCAGGTAGCACTTTTCTGAAGGAACATGAAGAAGGTGAGGTGGCAGATAGGGAGGGGAGGTGACTCCTGATGACATGCTTGGGGAAGGCCTCTTGGAGGAGGTGATGTTCAGGCTAGACATGGATAACAAGAAGGAGGCCATCAGGCACAGCGTTGCAGCCACAGGGAACAGCTCATGCAAGGGCCCTGAGGCAGGACCGAGACTTGCAGTTTTGAGGAACAGCAAGGAAGCTGGAGTGAGTGTGGGGAGACAGGAGGACTTGACGCTATAGTCCCTGCAGGCCACTGGAGGGTCAGAGCGGTCGCCGTGGAGGCCTGGGTGGGGGCCGGATGGTGGACTTCATTTGAAGGCAGGAAGGATGCAGCAACCGTCCGCCGAGATGGGAAGATGGCAGAAGGGTGGCTTGGGGCTGATCGGGACCTCAGTACAGACAGGCTGAAGTTGACAGGCAGCGATGTCTCAGATGAGACGCTGAGTCGAGGGCTGGCTCCATGGGTCTGGAGTCCAGGGGTGAGGCCAAGTTCAGATTCAAGCACGGGGGAGGGGACGGGGGTGGGTCATAGTTTCTTAGGGCTGCTGTAACAAAATACACCACAAGTGGGTGGCTTTCAAGAACAGGTATTTATTTTCTCACAGTTTTGGAGGCCAGAAGTAGCTGGGTGGCGCAAATGGTTAAGCGCTCGACTGCTAGCCGAAAGGTTGGCTGTTCGAACCCACCCAAAGACACCTGGGAAGACAGGCCTGGCGATCTGCTTCCGAAAAGGGCTGGGGGTTGTTGTTAGGTGCCGTTGAGTCGGTTCTGACCCACGGCGACCCCGTGTACAGCAGAACGGAACACCGCCCGGTCCTGCGCCACCCTCACAATCCTTGTTATGCTTGAGCCCATTGTTGCAGCCACTGTGTCAATCCATCTCATTGACAGATTTCCTGTTTTCTGCTGACCCTCCAATTTACCAAGCGTGATGTCCTTCTCCAGGGACGGGTCCCTCCCGATAACATGTCCAAAGTACGTGAGATGAAGTCTCACCATCCTCCATTCTAAGGAGCATCCTGGCTGTACTTCTTCCAAGACAGATTTGTTCATTCTTCTGGGCAAACCTGTCACCGTCAATTCCGACTCGTAGCGACCCAAGAAGACAGAGGAGAACTGCCCCATAGGGTTTCCAAGGAGTGGCTGGTGGATTTAAACTGCCGACCTTTTGGTTAGCAGCCGAGCTCTTAACCACTGGGCCACCAGGGCTCCATGTCCTTCTGACAGCCCATGGTATATTCAGTACTCTTTGCCAGCACCATAATTCAAAGGTGTCAATTCTTTGGTCTTCCTTATTCATTGTCCAGCTTTCACATGCATATGAGGCGATTTAAAACACCAGGGCTTCGGTCAGGCGCACCTGAGTCCTCAAAGGGACATCTTTACTTGTTAACACTTTAAAGAGGTCTTTTGCAGCAGATTTGCCCAATGCCGATACGTTGTTTCAGCCATGAAAAGCTTACCAGGCAGTTCTACTCTGTCACATGGGGTCGCGGTGAGTCAGAATTGACGAGACAGCAATTAACAACAGCAGAGGTCAGAACTCAGGGCACTGGCTCTGCGGGGGTGGGGGTGCGCTTCTTGGTTGGTAACCCCACTAGTTCCTTGTCTTGTAGATGGGTCCTCATATGGCGTCTTCCACCCACCCCCGCCCCCTGTGTGTGTCTCTGCGTCTATTCTGCTCTTTTGATAACTCAGAAGGGATCAGGGTTAGGCCCCACCCTACACTGGGCTGACCTCATTAACATAACAGAAGAAAAACCCTATTTCCAAACAGGGTCATATTTACAGGCACAGGGGCCAAGACTTCAATACGTATTTTGTTGTTATTAAAAAAAAACAAAACAAAAGCCTGCTGCCATGGAGTCGATTCTGACTCCCAGCGACCCTGTAGGACAGAGCAGAACTGCCCCATACAGTTTCCAAGGAGCGCCTGGTGGATCGAACTGCTGACCTTTTGGTTCGCAGCCGCAGCTCTTAACCCCTGGGCCACCAGGGGTTCCTTTGTTGTTAGCTGCTGACAAATCGATTCCAACTCATGGCGGCCCCATGTGTGCAGAGTAGAACTGCTCCATAGGGTTTTCAAGGCTGTGTGACCTTTTGGAAGTAGATCGCTAGGCCTTTCTTCTGAGGTGCCGCTGGCTGGGTTTGAACTGCCAACCTTTCCGCTAGCAGTGGAGCGCTTAACCATTTGCACCACTAGGGACTCGAATACATATCTGAGGGCACGCAATTCAGCCCTTCACAGGCGTCAGAGGAGAGGTGCTCTTTAAGGCAAGGTTTGAGCGGGTGGGCTGGGTGGGACGATGTCCACGGGCGCGGGGGCCCGGGACAGAGCCTGACAGCTGACTGCCCGCTGGGCTCTCTCTGTCCAGCCAGGTCTGCTACGCGTCCGACCGCGGGAAGCTGGAGATGTTCGCGCTGAGGGATGTGCCCGGTGCACTGGGCGCCAAGCTGGCTGTCTTGCGTCTCTTCACCCGTCACCTGCAGCTGCGGGAGGTGAGGCCGGCGGGGTGGACGGGGCTGGGCGGCTGGTGACACCATGGCCCTGAGCACCGCGCGGCTGGGTCTGCCCACAGGAGGGGACCCTGCCTGCACCTGCACCACCCGCTGGGCCCAGCCTCTGCCTCCTGCGTTTCCTGGTGTTCGATCAGGCCTCGATGCTCCTTTTCAGCAATGGGACAGTGCAGGTGAGGGGACAGGTGGGGTGGCAACGGGACGGTGCAGGTGAGGGGACAGGTGGGGGGGCTGCCGGGTCCCTCTCGGATTATTATGTGGCCAGCTTTGCAGAAGCCCCAGGAGACCTGGACTCCTGAGAAAGAAAAAAGGTGTTAACTCCGAAAGCCAAACCCCGCCAAAGCCCAATGAAAGCATGTTGAAATGACAGCAAGGTCTCGTTTTCACCCCTCTTGCGGCGTGGTTAAATTTAGCGCCTGTAAAAATGCAATTTCGGTGGAAAATCATTTTTAGGTTCAGTGTTTCCTAAGCAGCTTTGAGGGTTTCCGAGAAGTCTCAACCAGTCCTAAAATGTATGTCAAGAGCTATCTTATAAAACACGGTCCTTATTTTTTTGTTGTCTTTGCAGTCAAAGCAAAAATCTACGTTCTAGCTAGGGTGTAGGGGTTTGGTCGTACGCTCGCCCTGAGCTGGGCTGGGGTGGCCATAAGTTAGAGAGAAAGGCTTACAGACGGCCCTATGTGAAAACTGGGGAATTTGATACTTAGAGAGGGACCTGGTGGCACAACAGTTAAACGCTAGGCTGCTAACTGAAAGGTCGGGGGTTTGAACCCACCCAGTATTGCTGCAGAAGAAAGGCCTGGTGATCTGTTTCCGTAAAGATTAACCCATTGCCGTCAAGTCGATTCCGACTCCTAGTGACCCTGTAGGACAGAGTAGAACTGCCCCATAGGGTTTCCAAGGCTGCCATCTTTGTGGAAGCAGATTGCCAGGTCTTTCTCCAGCAGAACCGCTGGATGGGTTCAAACTGCTGACTGTTTTGTTAGCAGCAGAGCACTTAATCACTGCACCACCAGGGATCCCTCAGTGAAGACTGCAGCCTAGGAAACCCTATGGAGCGGTTCTACTCTGCCACATGGGGTCGCTATGGGTCGGAATGGAGCGGACGGCACTGACAACAGCCCTCAGAGAGGGAGAGAGGTATCCCCAAGGCTGCAGAGTTACTGTAAAGGTGTGGGGGTCACACGGGGTGGCTGTGGGCGGGCAGTCCTCGTCCGAGGCTCAGTTTCCCCTTCTGCAGAGCTGAGCTCTTAGCTCTGGGCTCTGAGCACTTATAGGTGAGGCAGGTACAAAGCCCCACCTTGCCGTCCAGGGACCTCTTGTCCTTCCCCTTGAAGGGCCAGGGCCGGGGCAGCCTGGGGGAGCCTCGTTCCCTTGACCTTGGCTCTCACCCTTCGGCAGGTCAGCTGCAGTGGTGAGCAGGCTCAGCTGGTGCTGAGCGGCGAGGGTGAGGACCTGCTGCTTACTCTCTGGGAACAGGGCCGGCCCGGCACCTCCTACCCGCTGGGCGTCCTTCGGAGCCACGGTTGCACCCCAACCACCCGCCAGCGCCTTCACCATGCTCTTTGCATGCTTCAGAGCATCTAGTGGCCCTGAGGGTCGGAGTGGACCTCTGCCTGATCCTGAGGGTCAGAGCGGACCTCTGCCTGACAGTGCCAGGGACCCAGGCACCATTCCTCTTCCTGTGGCTCCCCCAGAGGGGGTGTCCTTGGGGGACGTGCAGGGGCATGGGGGGCTGGGTCCTTGCCTTGTGGCATGGCTGTTCAACTCAGGCTTTTGTCCTGCCTTGTTGGTTTTTCATTAAAGACATCTTGGCTCTGTATCCTGTGGTTGGCCTCTCTTGGAACACCAGAGAACTTATCGTGATGGGGGGGCAAGTGGCTTGTGATGTATGGGCCGCTTAAAAAAAAAAATGTTGATCCCACCTGTCCAAAAAATGTATCTGTGTGTGGGTGTGTGTATACGGCGGGCATCCATGAAAAAGTGGGCAAAGGGACGTTTGTTGATACTTAAGAAACTATTGTTGGATTTTTTAAAGTCTGTAACTTTGTGGTGGTTTTAAGAGTGCTCTTACTCTTTGAGGTAGTATTCTCAGTGGGGGCGGTTCTGCCCTCAGGGGACACTTGGCGATGTCTGGGGACATTTGTGGGTGTCCCAGCTGGGGAGGGAAGTGCTGCTGGCATGGAGTGGGTGGAGGCCAGGGATGCTGCTCAGCGCCCTGCAGTGCACAGGATCGCCCGCCCCAGAGAAGGATCCGGCCCCCGTGTCAGCAGTGCCGTGGGGAAGAGAGAGCCTGCTTTAGAAATCTGAACAGGAATCTTTACAGATGTAACGTTTAATTTCCCAAAGCATATTTCTGCTGTCATCTGAAACAACCGCGAACATGGAAAACGCCCACCCTGTGAGAAGCCGAGGGCGCGGCGCCCACGCAGGGCTCTGCACACGCGTCCCTCAGTTCCTGGTGTCCCTCACCCGAGGTCCGCGCTGTGTCCGGCGGGGCTGGGGCGAGGTGGGAGCGTCCCCCCGCCAGAACGCAGTGCCCAGCCTCGCTTGGGTAACCCTTCCCAGCTCTGCCAAGGACCCCGTGTCCTGGGACACCCACCAGCAGGCGGGGCACTGGCTCAGCTCAGATGGGGGCCATGTCCGAGAGTCCCTCCCCGCGGGGACATGCCCCGCCCGCAGCCCTTTCTCTGTTGTGGTTGTCAAGTGCCCTCAAGTCATTTCCGACCCATAGCGACCCCGTGTACAACAGAACGAAACCCCGCCCAGTCCTGCGCCATCCTCACAATCCTTGTTACACTTGAGCCCATTGTTGCAGCCACTGTGTCAGTCCATCTCATCGAGGGTCTTGCTCTTTCTTGCTGTTGCACTATTCACTGTCAGTTCTGGAAGTGAAATATGGACACAGTCTCCTTGTGAGAAATTGCAGCCTGAGACGTAAACCTGAAGTCCCTGGTGCCCCCGGTTCCTGGGGCAGGTAAAGGCCACCTGGCTGTGCCCCTCCCACGTTTAAAATCCGCACACTGAGTGGGGAGAAGAGAGGAGGACAGCCTCAGAAGCTGGAGGGTCCCCCCGGTTTACGCCCTCTGACCCACAGGAATTTATTCTGGCCTACAGTGTGAGCGGGGATCACACCCAGATGTTTCTTTGCTGTCTAAGTGCATTTCCGTCCCCAAGGACGCAGCTCCACCCGCTTCCTTCTCCTGAAGCGACTGGAGCACGAGAAGCTGACCTTAGGTGCTGGGAACGGAGGGCCCGAGGGGACAAGGCGCTCAGTGTCCGATTGGCGAAAACAGCAGATGTGGGACGGGTGGCCACAGGGGCTGGTGGAGCCCGGAGGTCAGAGGCCGCGTGCCTTGGCATGGCCAGGTGTGGGAGCAGAAGAGCTGCTGTTCTGTGCGAAATGCAGGGGCCTGAAGACCCCCCGGGGAACTGGGGGAAAGGGAGTGTGAGCAGGAGAGGACCAGTGGGAGCGGAAGGTAAACACTCACATGAGCATCTTGATCTCTTTCTAAATTAACCCGTTGCTGTTGAGTCGATTCCCACTCATGGCGACCCTATAGGACAGAGTAGAACTGCCCCATAGGGAATCCCATAGGGTTTCTAAGGCTGTAATCTTTACAGAGGAGCCCCGGTGGTGTGGTGGCTAAGAGCTCGGCTGTGAATCCACCAGCCGCCCCTTGGAAACCCCATGGGGTAGTTCTACTCTGTCCTATAGGGTCGCTGTGAGTCGGAATCGACTCAACAACAGTGAGTTATTTGGTTTTAATCGTTACAGAAGCAAACTGCCACATCTTTCTCCCATGGAGCAGCTGGTGGGTTCGAACCGCCAATCTTTCAGTTAGCAGCGGAGTGCTTAACAATTTTTTAAAAATTACTGAGGTGAAATTCACACACGTACAAGTAACCATTTTAAAGTGCACAATTCAGTCTTGTGCAGCCACTGCCTCTATCTAGTTCCAGAACATTCCGTCAGCCCAGAGAACACTTCATACCCATCAAGCAGTCATTCCTCCCTAGCACACTCCCTAGGCAACCACTAATCCACTCCTGTCTCTACGGATTTCCCTATTCTAGACATTTTGTATCGATGGAATCAGACACTATGCGGCCTTTTATGTCTGGCTTATTCACTGAGCGTGTTTTTGAGGTTCATCCATGTTGTACATCTATTAGGGTTTCATTCCTTTTCATGGCTGAGTAATATTCCACTTTCACTGGCCAATTTTTTTAGAAGTAGCCTTCCAGGTCCTTCTTCCTAGTCTGTCTTAATCTGGAAGCTCTGCTGGAAAACTGTCACCATGGGGGACTGTCATGGTTTGAATTATGTCCCCCCAAAAATGTGTATATCAGTTTGTCTGGGCCATGATTCCTGGTACTGTGTGATTTTCCTGTATGTTGTAAATCCTGCCTCTATGATGTTAATGAGGGAGGATGGGTGGCAGTTGTGTTAGTAAGGCGGGACTCAATCTACAAGATTGGATTGTGCCCTGAGGCAATCTCTTGAGATATAAAACGGAAAAGTGAGCAGACAGGGGGACCTCATATCACCAAGAAAGCAGTGCCAGGAGCAGAGCGCGTCCTTTGGACCCAGGGTCCCTGCGTGGAGAAGCTCCTAGTCTGGGGGAACAATGATGAGAAGGCTGACAGAGAGAGAAAGCCTTCCCCTGGAGCTGACACCCTGAATTTGGACTTTTAGCTACTTTACTGCAAGGAAGTAAACTTCTCTTTGTTAAAACCATCCACTTGTGGTATTGCTGTTATAGCAGCACTAGATGACTAAGACAGTGACCATGCTGGTATTTGAAATACGGGGGACAGACCTTCCAGCATCACAGCAACACACAAGCCCCCACAGTACGACTAACTGACAGATGAGATGTTGTGGCTGCAACGATGGGCTCAAGCACAGCGACAATTGTGAGGATGACGCAGGACCGGGCAGTGTCGTGTTGTACGTGGGATCACTATGAGTTGGAACCGATTCGGTGGCACTTAACAAAAACAGTATTCCATTGTGTGGGTGGACTGCATTATGTTTATCTACCAATTGGTGGCATCATGATCTTTTGGTTACAAATGACACAAGCTCTCCTCTCGTGTAATCAATAGAATGTCAGAAGTGACGGTGTGTGATCTCTGAGACCAGGTCTTAAAAGGTACCAGGGCTTCCTCCTTGCTCTCTCCTGATCACGTGCTCTGGGGAAAGCCAGCCGCCATGTTGTGAGGAGACTCAAGCAGCTCTTTGGAGCCGTCCACATGGAGAGGAACTGACGCCTCCAGCCAACAGCCACGTGAGGGAGCCATCTTGGAAGCAGCTCCTCCAGCTCCAGTCAAACCTTCAGATGCTGCTGCCCTGGCCACCATCTTGACTGCAGCCTCATGAGAGACCCCAAGCCAAGACCACCCAGCTCAGCTACTGCCTAATTCCTGACCCTCAGGAACTATGAGAAATAAGTGTGTATTGTTACTTGAAGTCACTAAGTTTAGGGGTGATGTGTTATACAGCAATAGATAACTAATATAAATGCCCGAACAAGTAAACGACTCAGCTTCATTTCTACCCAGATACCATTTGGGGATGAGGAGGAGGGGAAGACCAACATCTCCAGCGTGCTTACTATGTATCTTGCAAAATGACCTACCTAGAATGTTTATTTCCATCTGTTTGTGGGCGTCAGGACAGCAACAATCTGTGAGAATCACCCACGCCCTGGGCCCACAATGGCGGCTCATTAAAAATAAACCAACTCTACAGAATGTATTAATTTTGTAACCTCCCAGGCCGCCCACACCGCCCTCGCACTGAAAGTTTCTGGAATCCTCTTCAGAGAGGTTAACTGTGTGCACCCAGAAATAAAATTACTGGAGCTTCAAGACATAGCAATGAATCCACCCCAGCCCTGGCCAGAACCTTTGTGTGGTTTTTTTCTTTCTTTTAGGAACAAACCGCTAAGGGCATCTTTAACTGTGTGGAATGAGGGAAAACTTGGCTTCTCACAAAAGTTTCCATGTGGTAATTTACCCTTTGGCCCAACCTGAAACTCAGCTGCACCCTCTGGACCACGTCCTTATTGGTTAGTCAAAGCATGTGACACGACACCTCGTCCAATCACGAGAAAGAAAGGCGGGGCCAAGGCAGTAGCAGCACAGGCAGGTACGATTGGTTGCTGCCATGGGAACCGTTTGTGACCTCACAAAGCTCCACAGGGTCCAGGCCCTGGCTATATACAAGCATCTAACCCAGGGCTCTTCCTCTCCCTATTTTACAGATGAGGAAACTGAGGCACGCGGATTTCCTCAACAAACAAAGTGCAGGAATAAAAGGCGGGGTCTGTCGGTAAGTCAACCCTGGCTTTACCTTGGAGTTTTAAAAATGCTGATGTCTCCAGGGAATTGTTGTTAAGTGCTGTGGAGTCAATTCCAACTCATAGCGACCCCGTGTACAACAGAACGAAACACTGCCCAGTCCTGCACCATCCTCACAATCTTTGTTATGCTTGAGCCCATTGTTGCAGCCACTGTGTCAGTCCATCTCCTTGAGGGGCTTCCTCTTTTTCGCTGACCCTCTACTTTACTAAGCATAA